TAGTGTGTGAAGTAATGTCAATGACAGATGTCGACACTGTAAGTTTTTTCTAGTAAATTACTTTACTTTTCGTACTAGTGCGTAAAGTATTTTTCTAAATTTATTTTTTTACACATATTTTATTGGTAGTAGAAAATTGTATATTATGTAATATGTGTGTAAAGTGAACTTTTTTTCACAAATGTGAATTTTTTCGCACTCGCCTTTCACTTTACACACACTTAATAGCTATTTCGGCGAAGTCCGGATTTTGTCCGGATTTCTTGACTCCTTTGTCCTAAATTCCGAAAAACCTTTATGGAAACCCTAAATCAGGTGAACACGTGAATTGTAAATTGTAAGTATGTTTATTAAGGGAGGCAAATACCACTTTTACTCCTACTAAAACAATAGTCTATTTCCAAAATTTTGACAAGCTGTCATTTCGTTACGGATGAAAATAAAAAGACGAAATTCTAGGGCCATAAAGAACTCGATGAGACCTTTGAAAAGAGGTATGACACGACCCCTTGGCTACGGGGATGAAAAAAACTGAAAAATATTTCACCCTCAAATCGAAAATCGGCGTGTCCGAACGTTTTTCTCGATTTTCATTTCAAATCGAAAAAATCGGGGTGGACTGTTTTGTTTTCCCAGGGACACCCTGTATATATTTATAACGCAACGACGCCACCGCCAAACAATATTATCTTGAAATAAATAATTGATGAAGTGAGATTTAAGGGTTGCCAACCTTCCCGATTTAGGCAGGAGGCTCCCTTTTTTTACTAAACCTCCCGCCTCCCGCGTACTTTACCAAAACTCCCGCTTTTCCCCAAAATAGAAATTACCTACATAAAATAATGATTCTAAATTAGGTGCTCTTGTTTACTTTTACCATAAATTTAATACTTCTCTATAAATCTGCAACACAGCGCAACCGGGGTGCATTACTGCATTACGAATAACGTCGAGAGGCGAGTGCGCTCTGATATTATTTGTCTTTCTTTGTTTCCAATTTCAAACGAAGACAGAACTACTCAAGACTGAGAGCGTAGCTCGTTCGGGCGTCTGAGTCTAGTGTACTGCAAAGGTATAGCTTTGTTCCAACTCAGCAGGGGAACCCTACATTCACTACATTCTACCGTCATGATTCTGCGCAAAACGTAAAATTTGTGCGTAGAATCTGAAATTCTTATACAGAGTGGTTCCGAAGCTGTTCTTGGGACGGTTTTTTGGCGGGTTTCGAACAGACCTTATTGTGCCACCGCGGCGACACATTTTTCCCTTTTAAGGACTACCTCTCGCTTTTCTATTTTGAAAATCTGGCAACCCTAAGTGAGATGCGAGCTGACTGTTGTCTGTTATCGCTGTCGGCTATCGCACGAGTAATACAAACTGTGTTAATACGGTTCCAGGAATTTAAGTAGAGCTGGGCATGGCTATAGAGACGGGCGTAATTGTACTTACCAATTTTTCCTATACGTATGGGTAGTAATAATCCCTAAACTAACTTGTAGCTTTTTGCTTTGCTTTGCTTTGCTTTTCGTATTATGGTTCAAGAAATAAAAACGTAATAATAAAGAGGAAACATTGAAATTTTAAGGGTCGGTACGCGCTTCGCGCGCCGCCCCTAAGATTTTGCCGCCCGGTGCTACTAAATAAGACCCCTGGTTAAACCGGCCCTGTTCATACTAACAGAGAGGGTTGAGGGGGTTGTCAGAAACAGAGTGACGCCAGTGGCGTACACTCGATCGACCAACGTACAAATGCGCTGAAATTTTCAGGTATTGTAGTTGCTTGATTGGGATAAAATTCAGTGAAAATTTCAGCTTTTTATCTATAATAGAAAAAAAGTTATGACCTTTCAAAGTTTTCCAAAATGCAAATCATAAGGTAGGTACCTTCTTACTAAAACGATGAAATTTCAAATTTGTTTTTGTCGAGATTTTGTATCCTAATGGTCAATCAACATACCCCAAACTCCATACACTAAATTATTCTCAGATTTGAAGCCGAAATCTATGAAAAAAGGCACTCAGAAAAATTGATAAATCACCCCAAATTGCTTAACACAATTTTATCTCAGGAAATATGAGTGCAAATGAGCTGAAATTTTCAGGAATTGTAGTCCCTTGATTGGGATAAAATTCAGTGAAAGTTTCAGCTTTCTATAAATAATAGAAAAAAAATTATAATAACCTTTCAAAGTTTTCCAAAATCTAAATTATAAGGTAGGTAGGTACCTTCTTACTAAAACGATGAAATTTCAAATTTTTTTTTGTCGAGATTTTGTATCCTAATAGTCAAGCAACATACCCCAAACTCCATACACTAAATTATTCTCAGATTTGAAGCCGAAATCTATGAAAAAAGGCACTCAGAAAAATTGATAAATCACCCCAAATTGCTTAACACAATTTTATCTCAGGAAATATGAGTGCAAATGAGCTGAAATTTTCAGGAATTGTAGTCCCTTGATTGGGATAAAATTCAGTGAAAGTTTCAGCTTTCTATAAATAATAGAAAAAAAATTATAATAACCTTTCAAAGTTTTCCAAAATCTAAATTATAAGGTAGGTAGGTACCTTCTTACTAAAACGATGAAATTTCAAATTTTTTTTTGTCGAGATTTTGTATCCTAATAGTCAAGCAACATACCCCAAACTTCATACAGTAAATTATTCTCAGGTTTGAAGCCGAAATCTATGAAAAAAGGCACTCAGAAAAATTGAAAAATTGATAAATCACCCCAAATTGCTTACTTAACACAATTTTATCTCAGGAAATATGAGTGCAAATGAGCTGAAATTTTCAGGGATTGTAGTCCCTTGATTGGGATAAAATTCAGTGAAAGTTCCAGCGTTCTATCCATAATAGAAAAAAAGTTATGACCTTTCAAAGTTTTCCAAAATCTAAATCATAAGGTAGGTACAGTTTGTTTCGCCAGTGTTTGTACTTGCCACCTGCATTTGCCTTCCTTGTTTAACAAATAAAAATTGACTGAAACAAATCAATGACGTCAAAAATGTTCGTCGGTTCTTAAACCAGAAGTCATTCATTTTAATTTGTCAAAAAATTGAATGTGTCATATGAATCAATCTACGACAACCCTTTTTTTTTCAAGTTCCAAGGTCAAGTATGAACCCTGGTGAAATGGACCTTACCTTCTTACTAAAACGATGAAATTTCAAATTTTTTTTTGTCGAGATTTTGTATCCTAATGCTCAAATCAACATACCCCAAACTCCATGCTCTAAATTATTCTCAGATTTGAAGCCGAAAACTATGAAAAAAGGCATTCAGAAAAACTGATAAATCCTCCCAAATAGACCTATCTATTTTACCAGACAAAGAGGTAATAATACGAAAACTTCATTAAATAAAAAAAGACACAGAACGCTCATTGCGCAAGACGAGGCAAAACGTACCAAATTATGTTAGACTTACGTATAGCAATCCGTCCTTCTTATATTTGCACAGGATAAAAAGAAAAGGAGAAAAACCGCGTGTTGTGCAACGTATTTGTCAATGAAAATGTCAAACAACTTTTGAATGACACTTGTCAAATTGAATATCAGCTTTAGATTTATTCTTGTCAGATCACGTGCAATAAACAAGGAAAAAGAGATGCCCAGCGTGCAAACGTCGCCTCACACCTGTATTAGCTAGCCAATAAAAAGACATTGCCTCGTGTTGCGCGCGCATACCAGGTAAAAATAGATAGGTCTATTACTTAACACGATTTTATCTCAGGAACTATAATAAGTGCAAATGAGCTGAAATTCTCAGGGATGGTAGTCTCTTGCAGCGTTGCCAGATATACCATTTAAATGGTATTTATACCATTTTTTCTTCCGTGATACTTGCGAAAATTTTGGGGATACCATTTTCCATTTTTCTACCAACAGAAATTTAACCGATCGCAGAAAAAATAGTATGTGTATTTCGGTGGAAAAGCACAATCTCGGCCTTCGGTGTTTGCCGGCCTCGGCTACGCCTCGCCCGTCAACTTACACCGTCGGCCGAGAATGTGTCACTTTTCCACCTAAATACACAATATACTATTTTTTGAATGACAGATAGATACCTACCATTTTCTATTTTTTGCATCTGACAACACTGGTCCCTTGATTGGGATAAAATTTAGTGAAGGTTTCAGCTTTCTATCCATAATAGAAAAAAAGTTATGACCTTTCAAAGTTTTCCAAAATCTAAATCATACGGTAGGTACCTTCTTACTAAAACGATGAAATTTCCAATTTTTTTTTGTCGAGATTTTGTATCCTAATGGTCAATCAACATACCCCAAACTCCATACACTAAATTATTCTCAGATTTAAAGCCGAAATCTATGAAAAAAGGCACTCAGAAGAATTGGAAAATTGATAAATCACCCCAAATTGCTTAACACGATTTTATCTCAGGAACTATAAGTGCAAATGACCTGAAATTTCCAGGAATTGTAGTTCCTTGATTGGGATAAAATTCGATGAAAGTTTCAGCTTTCTATCTATAATAGAAAAAAGTTATGATTTTTCAAAATTTCAATGTACGTTTCAGGTGAGTGTCTTATTTGAATAATAACTACACGTTTCAGGTGAATGTCTTATTACTTCAACAATTCAACAGTATATTGGTGTGTAGATGGCTGCGGAACTCGCTGCGCTCGTCCCGCAGAGGTCCACCCATAAGTTCCGCAACAATCCACTTATTTGTACATACATGGGATTTATTTCATACTAATGAGGAAGGTTAAGTTTTAAGTTATAGGTATATATGTATACTTTATTTTTTTCCAAGATAGATTTTGACATTGTCAACTTTGAAACATAAACAATGCCGCTAATGCCACTTATTGGCCGCTATTGTAAAACTGATGTCAATCTACAGAAACACCTCATTTTGCGACCAATCAGGGTTAAGTGTTATTTGTTTATGTTTCAAAGTTTTCAATGTCAAAATCTATCTTGGGAAAAAATAAAGTATAGGTAGTTTAATTTAAAAATAAAACAAGCATTTTAAAAACTTATCATGTATATTTGTTCTAAAAAAATTACACAGTTTTTAAAAAAATACTTGCGAGAGATCAACAATTAATAAGTACTCCCAACTCTTATCGAGAAACTTGGCCAAGTATTTTGCTTAGCTGAAAATCAAAAGATGCACACATCCCACAAAGAATATACTAAAACTAACTTTAAATTTAAATAAAATTATCAAAGAAACAAACACAGATGAAGACTAAATATAAAATAGAACTTTTTCTACTGACGTTTCATAATAGCAACTTTTCGATTGTCATTTCAGTTTTGAAACGACATTCTTTTAGGCACTGAGTGCGTGAAAGTTACTTTTAGGCACTCAGTGCGTAAAAGTGACTTTTGAATGCGTAAAAGTGACTTATGAGTGCGTAAAAGTAATTTTTAAGCACTAGTGCCTAAAAGTGTCAATCATTATTCAGAAATAAAAAACAACACTAAACACATATTTGAATTTTGTTTTGTATTTATTATGAATATTGAAAATGGAATTACTGAATTGAACGTTTGGGTTACTCAAAACAGAACTTTGTGTTATTACCTACTTTCTAGGATTTTAAATATTGATGCCGAATTTTGAAAAGAAAATCGCATGAAAAGTGTCAGGTGTCAAGTAAAAGCAGGTGACAAAGATTTTGGGTGTAATCGACTTATTCACATGAAATAAAATTGTGTTTTTTTTATTATAAAATGCCAGTAGAAAAAATCTTGTATACAATACGTTACGAAACGATGTCTTTTAGTCACTCGACGTGTTGTCCAACTCGGCTTTGCCTCGTTGGACAATTTTCACGTCGCGTGCCTAAAAGACGCTCATTTCGTAACTTATTGTATAAATAGCTATTTTGTTTAAAATCTCAATTTACTACACCTTAAACTAGGCAAGTCTTAAATATCTAACAATCCTTATAAATTATACCATAAAAATAAAATCAATATGTATTATACATATTTGCATACCTATAGTTTGAAAAAAAAAAATGCTTACATAATTATTGATCACAATAAATTCGTTAGAATCATTTATCAGGTAATATGGCAAGAACCCTCTTTTTCAAAATTTATCTTTACCGTTACACATTCCACTGTAGAACATCCTAAGATTTCAACAAAGAATCTTCCGCTTCCCTTTCCTTTTCCCCATTAACTTTAATACTACGCATTTCAACTTCGACATCCCCTCTCAAATACTGTTGAATTTCCTCCAAGCTCTTTCCTTTAGTTTCAGGAACCACAAATATAATAAATATCAGTCCCATTACAGAAAATATACTGAAACCATAAAACGCCATATGAATACCATAAGTATCCATCATAACTTGCAAGAATTTTGAGGCAGCAGTTGCTATAATGCTAAAGTAAACATCTGCCAGGCATAGAGCATAAGCTTTCACAGTTGTGGGGAAAAGTTCCCCAAGAAGACAAATCGGAATACTTTGCATACCAACACTGAAAAATATTACAAACAGTAATAAACTGCCAATCGGAATATATTCCATGTTTGAAACATCAATAGAAGTTTCTTTTTCAATATAAAAATAGGTTCCTTCAATGAATAAGGCTACAATAGACCCTGTCATGGATATCAACAGAAGCGGTTTTCGACCAGCCTTATCAACAATACTTGACGACAACATGGTCATGAGTAACATCACAGCAAAATATATAATTGATGCAGTCTTTGCTGAAATTTGACTTCCAGCTTGTGCAAAGATTTCTTGCGCGTAAAAAGTAATGGCAGTGGTACCACTGAATTGTTGAAAGCCTCTCAAACCTGCCACAATAATAACAGCTTTCCTATTGCTAGGAATAGTAAATAAATCAAAAAACTTCCCTCTAACTTTGTTGCTTGATTGTATTGAAGAGCGCATTTTAAAAATTTCTTCGTCAACGTTAATATTAGGTCGGAACTTTCTCAAACTTTCTTTAGCCTTTTCAACTTTGTTACGCATTAATAAATAATAAGGGCTTTCGGGCATCCAAATGAATGTAAGAAAAGTGATTATGCATAGAGACGACGATACTAAGGCAGCATTGGTGATGCTCATGTAAGATCCTATGAGATTGATGAGGAGAAAACCTAAAATCCAGCATACTGAACAGCTAGAGCCTAGTAATCCTCGGACACGGGGTTCTGCGATTTCTCCTGTGTACATTGGCACTACTGTGAATGTAACTCCATCGGCTATTCCAGCAATGAATCTGTAAACAAAAAATTAATTGTTGAAAGTGGAATTCTTATAGCAAAAGAAAATTATAGTTTACACAATATTATTTGCATGAACAACATTAAAACGACGCAATTTCTTATTCTTTCTTACGTAAGTGTTCCCAATTCTTTCAAGTGCGAATATTTTGTTTGCAATCTTTTCTTGAACTCTGTTATTTTAAAAGTAGGTGAGCACATTTTATAACTGGTTTTGCTATATCATCTATCTAAGAAGTTTTGTCTTACTGACCTAACTGTATAGCCAATTTCAATTTTTAATATTGGTTCTTACCTGGCTACATACAAAAACGTAACAGTTTTAGCGAATGCCACCATGAGCCAGGCTAAAAAAAAAGGCACTGTGGTAAAAATTATTGTCTTCTTCCGTCCAAAATAGTCTACAATATTGGCAGCTGTTAGGGCTCCAACTACAGCTCCTAACAGGGGCATTACTGCCATTAAGGCACCTTCATCGCTGGTGATGTTTAGGGTGGAATTCGTGTTGTTGAGTAGCTGAGGGAGGGATGGCGAGGGCCATCCATAGTGCATACCATCGGTAACAATGGCTAAGTTAGCTGAAAAAAAAAGTTAACACAATTATTAATCAATTTAAAAGGCCGCCATCCAATTTCAGCTGGTGTTCAAATCAAATTAAAATAAGTAATATACTATACCCGCATATGTAATTTATTTAAATGGTTTCCCAGAGAATAATTTATCAACGTAACTCTTTAATCTTATTATATTGTTGCATGAAATACTTAACTGGCGGGGTATTTCTAAGGAATATATTTTTTCTTTTATTAATTTTGCATTATTTGGGTGCGCATAGCGAGTAATTTGTGGAACTTCCAAAGTGGGCATTTAGAGGCCATAATTAGGCGGTACCTTTTGATCAAATTTGTTCAAAGTTTCAGCTAGAAAAATCTGGATCGTTTTAACTTGTTTCTAAGGTCAATTTTTCATCGCCGGAAGAACAAAAGAGGAAACGGTAATTATCATACACGCAACCATGACTGGTAACTTCAAATAAGTAGTATGACTAGTTTAATTTGGTGATAAAGAAATGTGTAATAATTTAAATAAGTTAACTGAAAACTTTTATGAACATTTCATAGATATCACAGTCTTGCACCATTTGCCTGATGACTAGTGAAACTAATTAAAATTTTCAAATTGGATAATTTTCAACTACTTGAAGTGTTCTGAATTCCTATATTTCAATTGTGTCTTGGTAGGTAAATACAGAATCACTCAAATTCCTCAAATAATTCAAATAGATCATGTTTTAAATAATAATAATAGTTATTTATGGTACTAGTGTGTTATGTTGAAAATAAGTCACGCGAGAAAGATTTATATATAAATTCTCAAGTTACTTAGGAAACATAACACACGAGTGACATACAATGTTTTATCCCAACAAGTAGAAGAAATCGTATTTTTTATGAGATAATACAAAAAAATACAAGGTTCTATTAGTCTGCGTCTTCCAGCACTATCCAGCAGCTGTACCGATATGGGAGCGTCTGGTTCCAATGAACCAACGAATTTTACAATGACTTCAAATTCGAATAAACCGTTAACGTTTTCCTTTAATTGTAATTGTAATAGTAATAAATAAATAGAATACTACTTTAAATATGAACGTGAGTTATAAACCATAACTCACTAGTGAGTTATAATCCATAACTCACTAGTGAGTTATAATCCATAACTCACTAGTGAGTTATGGATTATAACACACTAGTGTGTTATTTGATAGTTTACTTGTCTAAAATGACATTAATAATAATAGTCATAACTGTCATGTGTTGGATAAAGATATTAATCTCACGGTTTGCCTTTTATCCAATGGGCTCTTTCACTAAAATTTAAATACGTAATTTAAGTATAAAATCTCAAAGGAGGGACTATTTTAGGCATATATACCAAAAAAAAAAATGTTCTACAAGGTTCAATAAGTTTTTCATAGGCAATCAAAAGTGCCTAAATTCAAACTATTTTAAAACGCGCCGATTTGCCGACGTCACATAAATATTCTTCATTTCGCTTATGTCGTTGCAAGGAGGAAGGGCTCGGCTGTGTTTGCGCTCTGTAAAGATACGTAAAGGTTCGAATGCGCTGTTGTCGGTTGTGACTAAATGTAGTGCAGCGTAAAATAAATAAATAAAACTAAACATAAAAAATTGCATTAAATTGTATTTAAGCATAATTTAAAAAAAAAAAATTATAAAATCTTGAATCTATAACTAATTAATTTAACTACTTTTCATGAGATTTTGCCAACATTTCAGAATTAAATCTATTACAAATTTTCAATGTTGACAATTAGTGGCAACACGGTCAAATTGCGAGCTGCGACGTCATAGAAATAAATTCTGGGTTTTTATTTGGAGGTATTTCTTTGTTTTCTGTTTTCTCAAGAAGGACTTTGAATTTTTCAAAAGTAAAAATACAGAAAATTCTGTTTTTAGTTGCTTTATCCAAATATGCCAATTTCAAAAATTAGTGAAAGAGCCCATTGTGGTTCCCTTTAAGTTCTTGGAAGCTTGCAAATATATTCTTTTTTATATTCAAATATTTTTTAGTAAATAACTACCGATACCTGGTCACTATCCATACCTAACCAGAGGTACAGGGTGATCTATTAAAAATGTCACCCCTTCTAACTTTTTCATATGACATTTTTGACAAAAGTGTCAAATACAAAAGTTTCAAGAAAGTCGAAAGTTTTAAACTAAGTGAGCTTTAGGTATACAGGGTGCGTCAAAAAAGTGCAGCAGTGTGAAGTTATTTTTTCAAAATGGAACACCCTGTATATTGTGCGCTTTTTTGTTAGTCCTTTTCAACCTGATTCCATCGATATACGGTTTGATATATCTATCTTCAATAGTTATAGGGAAAAACATGGAAACCCCTTTCAAGGTTTCATAGTGAAAAAAGAAAAATTAAGTATACCACTTAAGCTTTGGAGATTTTTTTTTATAAACAGTTTATTGTTCAAATTTTATTCATTAATATATAAGGTGAAATATTATAATAAATCCAGATGTCTAAGTTATTATTATTATGTGTAAAAAAATAACATGAGAGACCTAGGAAGGGATTTTCACATTTTTCCCTATTACCATTGCAGATAAACCGAGAAAAAAACATATCATTGAAATCAGGTTAAACGGGACTAACAAATATGCGCACAATATACATGGTGTTTCAATTAAAAAACGTAAACTTCACACTGCTGCACTTTCTTGACGCACCCTGTATGCTTAAAACTGACTTATGGGTCATTTCTGTGCACATCTGTAAGAAAATCTATAAATTTCTATAAGCCCATAGCTGCCTATTGACAATTTGCAATTCTGCACTTCCTGTAGATTACATAATATCTTATAGGATCGTTACATATTTCCGATCGAGTGTTTGGGAATCGATGCGTTTTGCACTGTTTTATAGGCTTATAGAAATTTAACGATTTGCTTACAGATTGCACAGAATTGACCCGTTAGTCAAAAACTTTTGACAATTTCTTAAAACTTTTGTATTTGACACTTTTGTCAAAAATGTTAAATGAAAAAGTTAGCAGGGGGTGACATTTATAATAGATATTATCACCCTGTACCTTTTATTTTTAGGAATTTTATTGATTCACTTTTCATTATGCTTACAAAACAATACAAGAAAATATTTTTAACAACTAGGAAATTCGCGAATGGAATTTTACTGTGAGTTTTTGAAAAAAAAAAAAAAAAATCTAAGGAACCTCTAGTCTATCAAATTTTCCAAGAAGAAATCTCCAAGTTTCAACTCTGTACATACATATACAGGGCGTTGAATAATTTTGAAGTTGGAAAAATCTCGCGTTAAATCAAAAATTTGTCAATTCCAAAAGTCTTTAAATTTTCAAAGACACTAAATATAGAGATAATATTTTGAGATTCTATAGAGCCTTCTAGAAACTCTATTCAGGATTGTTAAAAAAAATCACATTATATTTACAGGGTGCGTCAAAAATGGCCTACCTGCTGTAACTTTGCTCATGCAAAAATTAAATGGATCCTTTTAGGTACCTATATCTAGTTTACATTGAAGTCTCTATATAAAATCCCCAAATATTAGGGAATCCTCTTCAGGGTGTTTGAAAAAAATTGGAAACTTTTAATTTTTGACTAAATTAAAACAGCTTTCAATGTAGAAAATGACAACATAAATATAATCGTATGCCTTTTGGATTGAAAAATGCCCCCGCTACATTTCAAAGAGTAATTGATTTACAAGAACCATTGGTGGCCTCTCTGATAAACCTCCAAATTTTTTTTGGATAATTTTTATTTATTTGAGCCGGGTTTTTATAATAAGTGTATTTAGCTTTTTTTATAAGTTTAGATAGTGAATTTCTGTATGCGTTATACAGGGTGACTCAGAGTAAGTTTCTCTTTTCGAACGCGTCCTGTACATCCAACTTAATATTTGTGGAGGGGTTAGCGCTGGCAATTTATGTCGACTGCGTGCGGATTATCAGTAAACATGGAGCAGTGGTCGAACAAGCAACGCGCGTTTAGTGTCGAGGCGTTTTTTAAATCAAACGATTCCTATGTCGCGGCACGGCGACGTTTTTGTAACCGTTACAATATTTGGCGTATACGTGATACTCCGTCAAAAAATTTATTGAAATTATGGGTTCAAAGATTCAGACAAAGTGGTCCAATGGCAAATCCGAAGCGTCCCGGCCAACAGAAGTCCATCAGAACGCCAGAGAACATTGGGAATGTGCGACGTGCTGCGACTGAAAATTCGAGGCGCTCAATTCGAAAACATGGCGGGACGCTTCTGATTTGCCAATTGCCACTGTGCCACTTTGAATCTTTGAAACCACGATTTCAATAAATTTTTTGACGTAGCGTCACGTATACGCCGGATATGGTTACGGTTACAAAAACGTCGCCTTGCCGCGACATAGGAATCATTCGATTTGAAAAACGCCTCAACCATAAACGCGCGTTGCGCGTTCGACCACTGCTCCATGTTTACTGATAATCCGCATGCAGTCGCCGCATATTGCCAGCGCTTACTTCTCCACAAATATTAAGTTGGATTTACAGGGCGCGTTCCAGAAGGGAAATTTACTCTGAGTCACCCTGTATTTATTGAGTAATTCTGAATCATTCCTGAAGGTATTACATTGTCTTTCAGTTTATCTCTATTTCGTATAGAGACCACAAGGCCATCAGTCAATCAGTGATCCATGGTTTTATTCTTTTTTTTCTTGCTACTAATTTGTCTATTTTTTTAGGCTTTTTCAATTACAGTAATCATTGTATTAATAAAGGTATTTGTACTTAAATTTACATTAGTTTCCGCCAGAACATTTCCCCACTTTTCCTGTGATATAAGTTCATTGATTTTATCATAATTTACATGTTTAATTGATTTATCGGGAGGTCTATTCTCTACGAGTTTATTATTTACATTATCGTTTCTAAGACTAACTAAGATGGGATAATGGTCTAATACAGAAAGCACTAGTTCCAGATACTCTAGTAGGTTTGTTGATAAGACTGATAAACGCAAGACCATACAGTAAAGTCAAATAATCATTTGCATTGGGCGAATTTGATTCCAGAATATTTATGTTAACATCCCTTACAAACACATAGGAACGATTTTGGTCCATGACCATTTCACTCAGGATATCACCAATACTGGCTAGGAAAACGTTTTTATCAATTGCGAAAGACCTATAAGTAGCCAAAATATCAATCCTCCTATGATTTTTTTGAACAGAAACCCTAATAACTCTGACTGGCTCCTTTACTATAAGATGAGATCTATATTGAAATCTAATTTTTAACAAATACAATGCATCCATCACACTTATTAAGATCACTGCCGTTCCAGAACAATTTGAACCCTTATGGTATGTTGAATAGTGAAAAATCATTAGCCCTATGAGCAGTGTTGCCAGAAAGCAAAAATTTTTTGTACCAAAATTAAAGACGAATTGTACCAGATTTAGTAAAAATGTACCAGCTTATAATGCGCATGCGTTTCCTGCAAATGAGGATTATTTCAGTATGAAAAAGATAGCTTAATTGTAATAAATACAAGTTAGTAAGTAATAAAAGATGACATGCGCGCGCAACTCGTAGGTGCAGTGTAGCCAGATTGTATTGTTGCAGAACAAATGTAGACAATGCAAATTGTACATTATAACATTAGAATATAGCGCCTTAAATCAGACAAAAGAAGAGCTTAAAAAGTGTATGGTAACACCGTTTGCACTTTTATTTTGATAAATGTTCCATCCGGCAACATCGCACAATGAAATTGCAAAGGAATAAGTCAAGTTTAATCTGACATAACCTTAAACGACACTGCGGCGAATTCAAGTAATATGTAAAGCATTAGTTTGCTCTTTGTCGAATTACACGTTACAAAGAAAGAAGGAACGATTCATTCTGAACTGGCCCCTGAATAAGAATATGACGCAAGCCTGTAACAAACTTGCTTCTCATTGGACGCTCACCTGCAGCCTACAAGCGACGCGCGTAGTCCAGGTAATAGGAGATCGGTCTATTAGGACAGAACATCGACATTAGACTAAGCAGGCAGTAGGCTAAGACTCTTTGAGAATTTGGAAAAAATAAAAAAAATGAAAATTGTACCAAATATACCAACGTCGTACCAGCGTACTTTTTCAAAGCGAATGGTACCAAATCTGGTACGGGTACGATTGTACCACCTCTGGCAATACTGTATATGAGTTTCGGACATTACAATAACATCAAATTCCGTTTTTGTAGCTTCCAGAAATACAAGAAATTGCTCAAAATTTTGATGGATACTTCTAATATTTAAGTGTATGATAATAATGTCACTTTTATTTTTGCTCAAATCTAATTTAGTTAAATCATCACGCATAAGTTTGTATTAATTGTTTTATAATCATCTAAGATTTCAATAAATGGTGTGAATGTTATTACAGTGAGTTACAATATATCACATATGGAGTAACTGAAAAGTACCTGTTGTAAAATTAATTAGTTTTTCCGATCAAAATTAGACCTAATTTTAATAGGTAAAATCTATGGAACCTCTAGTCCATCAAATTTTCCAAGAAATCTCCATTAAGTTTCAACTCTGTACGTACATACATACAGGTCGTTGAATAATTTTGAAGTTTGAAAAATCTCGCTCTAAATAAAAAATTTGTCAATTCACGTCATATTTACAGGGTGCGTCAAAAATGTTCTGGTTCGAAAAAAAAAAAAATATCTGCTGTAACTTGCGCATGGAAAAATTAAATAGATCCTTTTAGGTATTAGGTATTTCATATTAAAGTCTCCATATAAAATCCCTAAATATCAACCCTCTTCAGGGTGTTTGAAAAAAATGGGAAACTTTCAATATTTGACTAAGTAAAACAGCTTCCAATGTAGAAAATGGCAAAATAAATATAATCGTATGCCTTTCGGATTGAAAAATGCCCCAGCGACATTTCAAAGAGTAATTGATGGGTGTTTCAAATTCACAGTATGGGAATCTCGTGAGCCATAAGAGATTAGGTACCTACTACAAAATAAATGTCACTCTATCGTTGCCACTTTTTCTCCTCTACATTATGGAATTATCAAATTTGAAATCCAACGTTGCGTCGTTGGGCCAACATCATCAATTTTATTTTTTTAAATATGCGGTTCTGGATTTTTTATTTAGTTCTTTGTTAGTTTTTGACTTCCTTAATGGAATGGTTTATCAAAATAAGAATCGATGGAATGAACATTTCAAACAAAAAGTAAGTAGGTATGTTAATTTGTATGGAGATACTCATCTTTGTCAAACATATTGTTTTCTTCATAAAGGACCCTGCCCAAAGTATACGGAAATTGCGTTTATATGAGAATTGGGTGAATTTTGTGTGTAATGTAGATCACGCCTTTTTGATTAAAAGTTACCATTGCACCAATCCTGAAAAATGACTCCACGTAGCACACCACTGCGCTACAGGCTTACCTATTTATGCTACATTGAACGGCGATTACAATGTCCAAGCGTTCTACTTGCTACCTATGAAATTAATTTTCTCAAAAATGAGTCATTTTTCAAGATTGGTGCAATGGTAACTTTTAATCAGGAAGGTGTTATCTACATTATATACAAAATTCAGCTAATTCTGACATAAACAAAATTTCCGTATACTTTAAGCAGGGTCCTTATTTTGATTTAATATCTCTTACGGATTTCGAGATATTGAAGCTTAAAGATTTCGAAATAAGAAAACTATTTTCGGAATTTTGACTTTTCCAATCGATAGAGGTCAAAATTAGTCGAAAAAGACCCTAACATAATTTCCAAATGACCAATTTAAAGAGAAGAAAAATCAAAAAGAAAAGGAATTAAATTTTTTGGTTCTGATTTTTTTTTTTTTAAAATCATAACAAGGTTAAGAAAAAGTGCCTATATTTCCATTAAAATTTGAACAAATAGAAATAAATTATACACTGTGAGAAACAGCATTAAATTTTTTATGAATCTGTGCCAGATTGAGTTTGATAACTTGAATACTTTTTGAGCAAATTGAGCCTCAAAGTTGAACTTCAGTCGAAATTTAGTTAAAAACTTCAAACTGAATTTTCTCAAAAACTATAAACCTGAAAAATAATTACAATGCAGGTTTTTTAGAGTTTAAAAGGAGCTGAAATTCCTGGAAATTTTGATTCAATATCTTTCACGGATTTCATTGATTTCAATATGGAAGCTTAAAGATTTTAAACTAAGAATTCAAAGGGGGTACTCTTTAAAAAAAAATCGAAGTTTCTATTTTTCGTATTTTCCGAATTTTCGCAATCGATAGAGCGGGTGTAAATTGAAGAGAAAAAAAAAATAAATAAATTATACACTATATTAGAAAGGTAAGAATATGTAAAAACACTCGCTCAATTTCAAAAGGATTCTAACTTTTCAAAAACACTCTGGAAAAGGATAATACCTATTTTGGAATTCGATAGAGCTAGACAACTATCCCAAGATAGACGGAAAACGTAGCAAAAGAAAATTTGATAGAAATAAACCAAAGGACTGGAAATATATTTTCTGAAATAATTATTGATAGTGATTAAAACTATTATTGCTTTAATTTTCACACACGTGCCATTTATAATAAATAAATTCCAAACGATTCCATGAGTAATTTACAAAAAAAATTCCATTGGATTTCGCCAACCATAAACAATCTAATCTACTGTTAAATTCCGTAGTACCTATATGACAAAGGATAAAAAATACTGGTAGGTGGGTGCCTAATTAATTTGATCAACATTGAGAGATAAATAAAAATTTAAAAGTTACAAATCAATTATAACTTTTATACGGGGTGTTTCAATAATAATCATGTGTGTCCATACATTATATTAATTTAAATTCTAAATGTGGAACAAAGCGCCACAGTTAATGAATAATGAATATGGTAATTACTTTAAAAAAAATTGCAAAGGTTTAATTATATACGCTTCTATTTTTTAGTGAATCAAGTTATCAAGTAAAGAAAAAAAAAACTTATTTTCCATTGTTGAACTTACCAGCTGCTGCAGCGATATACTGTAGAGTAGCAGATCCTCCATCAGGAGAAATTTTCATTGAATCCATTCTAATGGCAATTTCAAAAATTTCACTTTCAAAAAACAAAATAAGCGGTACTTAATTCTTCTGAAATGTTCGAGAATATTTTCTCGTTGACCAGCGACCACCTCTTCACATGTTGAAGCGAGCACAGCTGACTGAGTCAGTTCCTATGGTGAGAACCCGGTAGAAGTCAGCCTGAAAATAAAGCACCTTTGGGTATAGTCAAGGACTCGTTTGATGGATCGGGGGATTATAAAGTATGTATACAGGCTGTCCTCGATTTATTTTTTTATTCGGGAAATGCTGATGGAAATTGACTGAAAACTGACTAGGGGAAAATTAAATGGGTGTGGTAAATGTATGTTAAGCGGTTAGCAACAAGGCATTTTTCTCATTTTCTATTGAACTTTGATGAATCGATAGACGATAATAATTAACTTAATTAAAAACATGTAACATGAAACATGTTTTATTTAAATAAATTTATGGTTACCACGTGGTCATATAGTTTCAGTATCTAAGTATACAATTTATTTATTCTTCAAAAATCAAAAAGTACCTATATGCATATAAAAAACTCATATGACTGATGAAGATTTTATAAAGACAAACTGTATACTTTTAACCGAATAAATAAATAAATAACCATATAAATTCAATCGGGTTTTATGCTAATATTCAATGGCAAATAGCTCAACAAAGAAAACAGCAACCTTGAGAATTCTACAGTTCAGTACAACAACAACCATCACCATTATACCCTCCTATGAGCGGAATTACTTAGGTACTTTTTTTTACAATAACTATTATTGGTACTGGTAAAAATATAAGGAAATTTTGGAAAAAAAAAAATCCAGTCGGTATAAAGAAGGTACTTACCCTCGAATTTTGGCAAATGAAAAAATTGATTTCGCCAACTTCAATTGAAAAGTTTTAAAGTGGGGTCATGGTCGTACGTACTGATAAAATCTGAACAAATATAGTTATACAATAAAATGTTAAATCTGAATGACTGATAAGACGTGATTTGACAATATTGTGTAATCAATTTTTAGCAATACGAGTTTTTTTTTTCTAGTGCTTAGTACAAAGTTCAAAAACGAGGAAAACGAAAAAAAAATCCAACATACCTACTGGGACAACCTGTATATTTTTTAATCCAATAATTGTTCTATGGAAAACTTTTGGATTTTTACCTGTTTGATTTAAAAAGAGGCCTCAAAACTATTAATTAGAGCAAAAGGGTCCCTTTAAATCAGGTACAAAAAGTAATATGTGGTGTAAGCTTAGGGTATTAACCTTTTGAATTTGAGAGTGAACAGGGGTGGTGTTGGTTAATTGGAATTATATTGGCAAGATCAAAGAAATTTGAAAAATAAAAACACGTACTTAATATAAGTTTAATAATGAATAAATTGAAAAGTGTACTTACCAACTTTCAAATAATTCAGCATAAAAACAATTTTCAGAATTTCTGTTTTGTGCCGCAGTATTATTTTGACTGCGGAGAGATATGAGGAAAATCATTTTTTTTGGCCCTGGATCAGCTGGATATGCGACGAAACTGTGAGAACTTTGACGTCACCGATTTGCTCGTTTATCCACACTCTGGCATCGGTTCAATAAGATTGCGCTGATAAAAATAAGCACAAGGATCAATAAAATAAAAGTCTGCAAGGAGTAGTAGGTACCTACCTTTACATTATTTTTATTGTTTAAAACGCATGTTAAGAATTAAAAGTAGATGAGTTTTTGCTATATAAAACCGCTGCATCGAGAATTCAAACCTTGATACAACCCTGTGTTCTAGTACTTTTCCATTCCTTTCATCGCAGTTTTTCTTTTATCAGCCCATAGTACAGTACCCATTGTACTTTTAATAATACATATGAGTATACCAGATGGTGAAGATGGAATTTTCCATAAGAAATAGAAGAGATTACTTATGATGCATAATCAAATTGATATATAGCTTATAGCTACCCTTCATATTAAGATGTATACTAGCTAGTACCACCGTTTATGAATATTCCAACAAAATTTTTTCAAAAATACTTTTTCCAGCCTAGTTTAAAACTTGTAATTCAAGTATACAGTAGTTACCTATATCCTATTCACAATTCGTAGTCCAAAGGTATAAAGGTACATTTATCACCTTTCCCTATCAAATTGCACTGAAAGGTGATAAATTTTACCTTTACCTTTGGACATCGGATTGTGAATAGATAATACTTGTGATTTCCAAAATTATTTTTAGAAATAAGGTGTATTTAATGCAGAGTTGATGAATCACATTCGCCATTGTGGCAGGAATAAACTAAAACACTCATGTTTAGTAGTTTAAATATCGGATTAAGATGTTCTATGTGAACAAAGGAGAGTTAACGAAAATCGCAAAATCTAAATTAGACCTTTCGATGCAAGAGAGGCATCAATCACACTCTAATCGCGGTACATTTTGTCCAGAAATCCTTTGGAAAACATTCTCGAAATCCTAAAATCGCCTTCGTGCAACACCGATATTGCTTGGAAATCGTTGAAATCATCATTATGGACATTATGTCACTATTATCGTTGATTACTATTATATTCGTCGCGGTAGATTATCTCAACATAGCAAAATATTTGGGAGATTGTCTAGTTCTTGATCCACGACGGATCTGGTTTTCTAGTTGTGGCTCACAGGCACTTGTCCTGTAAAAAATCTACACTTTCTTCTGATGAAGTAGGCATATTTATAACATGGTTATCAGCATTATTCTTCGATTGCGGTAGACTTTCATTACAACATGGAGCTGAATTTTTTAACGAAACCGTTGCTTCTCATCCATTTGAAAGTCGAACTAACGCATATTGAGGGTTAGCTTCAATGAGATCTACTTCTTGAACGAGAGGATCGTACTTTGATTGTCTGACATGCTGGCAGAAGTTAGCCATGAAGGTATTGCTGTACCATTCATTGATTTTCTTGAATGACAGAACATTCTTTCATGTGGAGTAGAATTAGCTGCTGTACATAAAAGAGACTTGATCGAATGCAATGCATCTCCTAGAACCGCTTTCTAGTATTGAATTTTCAAATTTCTTGAACGCAAGACTAGAGTAATCGTCTTCCAAATTATTGACCATTGCTTTCTGGATTATAAGGTGTCTTTCTGCTTGTAGCTATTCCTTTTGAATGAAGATAATTTGTAAAATCATTCGACATAAATGAAGAGCCTTGATCTGTGTGAATATATCCAGGCATTCCAAAAATGGAAAATAAGTTGCTTAGACACCGAATCACCGTCTCAGAAGTCATGTCTTTGCATGGATAGGCGAATGGAAAGCGAGAATACTCGTCGATGATAGTGAGTATATATGTGTTCCTTGAATCAGATGGAAAAGGGCCTTCGAAGTCCAGAGATATTCTCTCGAAAGCCGAAGTTGCTTTAATGAGTGTTCCTTGATTTTTAATAAATTTAGGTTTGAGTTCTGCACAGACTGGACAAGACGCTGATATAATACGAATATCTTCTACAGAGTAGGACATATTGCGAGATCTGACCCAGTGGACCATTCTAGTGATTCCAGGATGACACAAAGCTTGATGTAAATCGAATAAAGTTTTCTGACTATTTGAACCATATATTCGTGAAAATGTATCAGCTACTACCTACGTTTTCTCGTATACTGTATCATAGCTGTAACACATGATAGTTCAAGTCGCCATCTTAAAATCTCTTCATTTTTTATTTTGCTACGGTGTTTGGTATCAAACATAAAAGATACAGATTCTTGATCAGTAATCAGTTGAAAATGATGACCAATCAGAAAATGTATCCAGTTTTTAATCGCTTCGACTATGGAATAAGCTTCTTTTTCAACTGATGAATGATTTGTTCACACTTACTGTGTTCTCGAGAAAAATGCAACTGGCCTTCTTGCTTGAGTCAAAATCAAGCATCAGTCTCAACCACAAATGGAATGTTATCTTCGATTGAAGTAACAGCTGATTTTGCAATATCCAATTTAAGCATCTCGAAATCATTTACACAGATTTCTGACAACGGAAAAGATTTACAAGAAATAAGTCGATTAATTTTCTCTGAAAAGCAAGGTATCCATTTTGAGTAATGGCCGAACATCCCAAGAGCTCTTTTCAGAGACTGAGAGTCTTCAGGTACAGGCAGTTTTCGTAGTCTAACTGGATCAGGTTTCAAGGCATTATTCTCGATCAGATGTCCAAAGAAGTTTGATTGATTTTAGGGAGTAAGAACTTTTTTTTTCGTTTATGGTAAAATTGTATTTTCTTATATAACGAGTGAAAATTCTTTTAAATTTGTTATAGTTAGTGACCTCAGTAGATATTCAGGTTGGTTTTTTGGAAAAAGGTTGGATTTAGGTTATAAATAAACGGCGTTGAAGAAGATAGTGTGTATTTGCCGACGTTTCGGCCTAAATTAGGCCATCCTCAGGGCACTGAAAACAGGATATCCATGAGTCTAACATCATGGATTATTACATAGTGAACAGTGTAATTGTAAAGTAGTGAAACTGTGTTAATACAACAATGATACATTTAAAAATTTAAAAATTGAACAGGAATTTTATATAAATTTACTCAGTTATCCTTATGCTTTGATAGCGAGCAATTTCCCACGAATTAAAAATGAAAAAATGATCGTTGGGTTACGTAAATAACATTAACAATTAAAAATCAAATAAATAAATAACATATAAATAACATAAAACAAGGTAAATTAGATTACAACAGGTATTACTTACATCCAAGTTACTTCTCCAGTGTTATTAAATAGAATGTTATATACATAAGGAACATAATGTTGTTAATTCGTGGGAAATTGCTCGCTATCAAAGCATAAGGATAACTGAGTAAATTTATATAAAATTCCTGTTCAATTTTTAAATTTTTAAATGTATCATTGTTGTATTAACACAGTTTTACTACTTTACAATTACACTGTTTACTATGTAATAATCCATGATGTTAGACTCATGAATATCCTGTTTTTGGTGCCCTGAGGATGGCTTAATTTAGGCCGAAACGTCGGCAAATACACACTATCTTCTTCAACGCCGTTTATTTTTGACCTAAATCCAACCTTTTTCCAAAAAACCAACCTGAATTCTTTTAAATGTTTATCATGGTTGCTTGATTTCTACCGCATATCGTAATATCATCTAAATATGCATAGACACCTTCAAGATTCTCTGATTTTATTATGTAGTCTATTACCCGCAGAAAACACGCAACTCCGTTTGTCATACCTAAAGGAATTCTTCGGAACTGATATAATTTACCATCTGCCTCAAAAGCAGTACCTTTACTGCTTTTCGTCGTCACGTATAAGAACTTGGTGATACGCACTTTGTAAATCTATAGTTGGTACTGAAAACCTTGAATTTCGCCACAGCACGAACAATATCTTTAATAATGGGCAGAGGATAAGCATCTAAATATGTAAACCTGTTAATGGTTTGAGAGTAATCGATTACCATCCTTTTCTTGTGCGTTTCATTTTTTTGTTACCAATACCTGTGCCTGCCAAGGAGAATTGCTTTCTTCTATGATTTTATTTCAAAGAAGGTTTCTTATTTCAATAGAAATAAAGTGTCTATCTTCTAGTGGAAATGGTCTAGACTCTGTTGCAATTGGCCTGCAGTCTGCTGATAGATTTGAAAATAATGTAGGCGGATCAATTTTCTGGAACGCCAAACTACAAATCGATGATGATGAGATGTCAATATACAAGAGAGGCTTAGGACCTCCAAAAGATACTTCAAGGATTGAAGACTGTGTAAGAATATCATGACCTATAATGACATCAACACATAAATCAGGAAGAACTGATAAACTTAATTTTCTGTATGTATGCCCCACCATTTCTAAGTCTACAAAGCAATATCCTGATAGTTGAGACTATAAGGCTGTTGTGGCCATTATGGATATGTATGTATCCAGTGCTTGAATGTATAGGTAGGTACATCGATAAATGAGGCAACAATTTTATTAATGTATGTTTCAGAACTTTCTGTATCTACTAAAGCATCAGCAACAACATTGTTTAATTTAATTTGGATAAGGCATTTGGTTAAACTTCCCAGGTGCCGCACAAAGAAACTCAGAAGCAGGTATAATTGAAGCAGAAGCTTTGACTTCTTTTGCTTAGACATACCTTGGAGAAATGTCCACGTTTACCGCATTCAGTACACTTTGAATCTTTAGCAGGGCATAACGTCCGAAAATGTCTCTTAGTACTTCCACAGAAATAACATTTGTACACTTTCGTAGCAGCGAAAATGAGGTCTTCTTCATGTGTTTCTCTACTTTCAGACTGAAATGAGTTAATCACACCTTGAGAGATGCTATATGCTTCTGAATGTTTTTGTGCCGATTTTAGAGATAGAGCTTGATTCTTGGCTTCAACAAGTTTCAAAGTAGTATTCTCTAACAATCGTTGTCGAATTTGGGAAGAGCTTTAGCCACTAATGAAAGAATCTCTAATATAGTCTTTGACTTTCTTCAGCGCTGACAGCTTTGAAGTTACAGTCTTTACTTAGATGTTTTAGTGCTTGTAAGTACTGACCAACAGTCTCTCCAGGTTGCTGCTTCCTAGAGGTAAGGCAGTGTCTAGCAAATATTTCATTTTAAGGTTTCATGAAAATTCACTCCAAAATCTCAATAGGTTCTGAGTATGAAGAATAGCAGGATATGTGCTCATAATTGTTGTGGCTTACATAGTTCACCAAGATTTTCAGTTTTCCATTTCCATCATTTCTAGCTTATCAACGGATGATATGAAATTGTTGAAAGTTGCTTTCTGGTAAGTCCACTCTTGTGCTCAACGACAACGCCATCTATACTGTAAGAAACCCGCAAATGGGTAAGTCATGTTGAACATATACATATATAAAAATGAAATTGGATTGTCAGATGTTCAAATTTTGACAAAAATTGTTCGCTTTTAGTTAAATGATTCTAAAAGATGGTTTGAAGGATGGGATCCAGATGGCAGAGATTGGGATACGTTTCGAAAAGAAAGAATTTGTGGAAGCTTTTCCTTTAAAAAAACTCTAGGGCGATTGTTAGA